TTGGACAACTAATTCTTTGTGTTGCTGCTTTAGCTAAGCTCTTATTGGAGATGAAGTTGTACAACAGAGTTTGGTTCTCCTAAGAGTTTTTGGCATATGGTTTTGTAGGTTCTCAGAGTTTTTGGCATATGGTTTTGTAGGTTCTCCAGGTTTTTCAAAGCAGGACTTGATTCTTGCAGCGCTTCTTAGTCACTTTGCATTTTTCTAAATGTTTGAGACTTCAATCACTAATGCCTTGAGCGTAGTATTTTTGAGAGAAAGGGATCGAGGTGAGTGGATTTGGGAGAAAGGGGGATTAAATATGGAAGATAGTGAGAGTCTCTAACAGAAACATTTAGCTAGCGTTTGACCATAGATTTCCTAATTTGTTTTAAAAATTTTGATTTGGGTGAAGTTTGGTTTGAAGATGAAAATGTGTTTGGATATAATTTTTTAAAACATACTTCACTTTTTTTTCCAAAAAACATGAAATGTGACTTATACCCATAAGTTTTAAAAACTATCAAAAATACTCAACAACTCTGAAGAAAATTCATACAAAACAAGCGAAACAAATCTGAAGAAAATTCATACAAAACAAGAGAAAAAAATCTGAAGAAAATTTATACAAACATTAGCAGATTTTAGCAAATTACCTTCAAATTTTGCCTTTGCGGTGGATTGTCACAATTTGGCACGATAACTTTGGCTAATGTTTTCTTCTATTTATAGAGAAGGGCAAAGCGCGTGAGTTTAATGGGGAAAAAGTGGATAGATATGAATTAGTTAAGTCATAATAACAAAAAGTGAAATTTTCTATAAAATACGAAAATTTGGGGCAATTTTTGAATTTTTTTTAAAAGCCAAACGGTAATATTTTGGGCCAAAAACAGTTCTTGAGCTGGTTTTGGGATATGGGATTTGAGATTTGAAAATTTACCACAATATAGATAAAATCTGTAAACAAACAGGTATTTGTCAAAAAAAATTAAAAAATATTTGACAAAATACATGACCAAACGAGGGCTTAGTGTAGCGTCTCTATTAGAGGCAAAGACTAAACTTATCCACTTTTAAATACTTAAAGATATTTTATAGGTTGAATACATAGGACCTTTAAATTTGTTAAGATTTTTCATTTAGACATTTTAACTAAAGTAGTGACCTATTGAACACTTGAAGTATGTCATAAATGTGTTATTGAACACTTAATGCTGACATGGCATAGCATAAGTTTGACACCTGAAGTTGAGCGCGTGAACGGATAAAAATTGTCACTATTTCACACAAAATTCAACCTCTCATCTTCTCAACTACAACTCCCTCCTTCTATCTTTGTTACACCATCACAAAAAAATTAATGCTGCCATCAACATTGCTGCAGCACCACCAAAAAAGAGCCTAAAAGCAGAAAATTAGCAATATCTCTTGCCCCTTTTCTTAGTGGTATGCGCTATATATTTTGCGAACTAGAAAATTAGCACTTTGATTCTCGATAATCACCCCGAATCTACTCACTTTCTCTTTCTCTCTCCACACATTTTTTAGATATTCTTTAAATTAAATTCATAATCCAAAAATTCTAGAGGTAAAAATAATAATCTAATGTTGGATTTTCCTCCTTCCAAAGAATAGGGATAATTAGTTTGAAGCTTTTATTAACAGCTAACCTATTTTCAGCTCTACTAATATGGGTAAATTTCACAAGTGATCATATAACTATAATTTTTTTCATCAAAGTTACGTAAAGAGAAAATTTCACATAAAAACAACTGAGCTCCATACTTTTCAATTTTATAGCCAACATTTCAATTTACAACCAACTAACCCAAAAATAATAGGCTAAGATTCAACATCCAACTCCAATAAAGTTCTCAAAATTACTATTTAATTTTTAAAAATTATTGCTCAAGCTTTAAGTTAATTTTTGAATTAGTAACTGTGACTCAAATATTAGTTCAACAAACCAAATCCATTGGGTGGTGAAAATTAGATTTTTAACAAGCTTAAATAAGTGGGTTTAAATTCCGAATTTGATTTTGTGAGAAATTTGGAGTGGGTGTTATTTAAACTTGTTAGAAATAGTATAAGGAGGTTGTATAAAAAATTTAAAGTCATTTAATGGAGATTTGGATTGGTTTTGAACAAGAATTGCAACTGAAAATTGTGGAAGAAGTTCGGCTACAGACGCTTGTATAAAAGTGTATAATAGTGTATAAGATGTGTTTATACACTCATATATACTATTATACAAGATTATACATAATTATATAAAAAATTGACTTCGTCTTCTTCCTTGTATCTTTTCTGAAACTCAACTCTAATCTTGCTCAAATCTACTCCAAATCACTTTAAATTTAAATTTTGAACTCCTTTTGACAACACCCTATCCAAAAACTAACAAACTCAAAAAATCCTATTTTCGAAAGCCAAGCTTTGAATGACCTTCAATGGTGGACTTCTACTCTTCAATTTTCTTACATTGCAACCATGTGACATAGGGGGAGAAACAGAAAATACACGGCCCCTTGAAGCATAGGTAGAAGATGTGAGAAGAAGAGAGAGTGAAAGCAATGGTTGTGAGAAAACAGATTTAACTCCATAACTTTTAGTAACAATAGTTGTAAGAACATAGATTTTGAATTTGCTACTGCTTTCAAAATATGTACAATATGGGCTGGGTCTGGTAAAACTTAAAAATATGGGCCATTTTTTGTTATGGTGTGAAGTCACGTGTATTTTCTTGTAATTCTTTCTTATATAAATTTATTTTCTCATACAACCAAAGTCATATAACTTTATTTTCTCACAAAAATCATAAAACTTTCACTAACTCACACAAAAATCATAGTGGTCGGAAAATAAATTTTTCGATAGTATTTTCTTATTTTATATTTTTTTATTTTGTTTATTTTCAGTCTAATAAATAATTACCCAATTAAAATAGNACGACATACATATTCTATATATATTTTGGTTAGCAAATACAATTAGTTTCGGTCGGCCGGTTAATTTTATATTTTTCTCTTAAAATAGGAATCACCCAACCCAGCTTGACCCAATACCCATATACGTAAGTTAAAATAATACTAAAAGTGAACTCTTCCCCCATAAAATATTTAGTTTGGAATGCATGAGATTCTGAAAAAAATAAAATAAATAAAATAAAAGGTATAATTAGAGAGCACTTGAAATAAAAATGATATCAATTTGAATAAAAATCTTTAAAAAAAAAATAAAAGATAGAAAACCACAAAATAAGAAAATACTACTAAAAAATTATATTTTTCGATCATTATGATTTTTATGTAAGTTAGTAAAAGTTTTATGATTTTTGTCTGAGAAAATATAGTTATGTGACTTTGATGAAAAAAAGTTATAGTTATATGATTTTTGTGTGATATAACAAAATTATATGATTTTGGCGAAAAAAAGTTATAGTTATATGAGTAGTTATGAGTTTTATTTAGCTAAGAGTTTCTTTTTCTTTTGTTTTTGTTTTTCTAGTTTAATACTACTGGAGTACTATTTTGCTAAATTTTTTGGGTTTGAGTAGAATCAGTACTGACTTGGGCTTTGGACTACGGAAAGTTGTGAGATGAGGAAGCAAAATTTGAGGAAATTGGGGTAACATTCTTCGAACTTTGGAACTAGCTTCCTACTTTCTTACCTATTTGCTTCTTCTTCATCATCATCTTCTTCTACTTGCTCCTTTTGATCTGTCTTCCTTTGTCCTATTTCCCAATTTTGAGCTCTCTCCATGGTAAAAATTATCTTTTTTATATTTGAAAATAATTTATCTTTAATCAATGATTTATAGTTATACAAAATAAATATGTTTTTTTATACCATAAGTTCAAAGGTCTTCTCTCTTTTCTTAAAGTCTGTGCCAGTCAAATGAGTTCACATAAATTGAAACGGTGGTAGTAGTATTTTTCAAGGTAAAAGTTCAAATTTTTGTTTATAAAAGATGCTTTTTTAGTACTACCTTCGTTCCAGTTTATGTGAACATATTTTCTTTTTGGTCCGTTCCAAAAAGAATGACACATTTCTAAATTTGGAAACAATTTTGTTTAAACTTACAATTCTATCTTTAATGAGAAGCTTTTATAACCACACAAATATTCTGAGCCCATTTTTAAATTGTTTAGGACCACAAATACCACAAGTCTTCATTTTTTCTTAAACTTCGTGCCCAGTCAAACATGTTTAAATAAATTGGAACAGAGAGAGTAGTAGTTTTCAGGTATACTTTTGTGATGTCTTATTTATTTGAATGTGTTTAAGAAGCTACTAGTACTCTTTTCTTGCAAAATTAGATCTTTTATTAACTTACCTTTCTATCTAGCTAAACCTACATTAAAGAAGCATCCTTTTTGGTTATAATGATGAAAAAAAGGAAAAAAAATGTTTTCATAATTGAAGGACTGGGATTTAAGGAAGATATTTTGGTGACTTGTGGAAGTGATTGTATGTGAAAGCAGAAGCTGATCTGGCAAGTTGGAGCCCTTGAAAGAGCACAAAACTCACAGATCCAAACAGTTTACATCTTGGCGTTTTATTGCATCTCTTCGAGAGACAAGTAAAGGGTAGATAAATACCTACAAATTTATATATTCAATTATTTTAATTTATACGACACATTTCGATTCTCGAAAATTAATTTGACTAAATTTTAAAGTTAAATTGAATAAGTTCAAATTAATATTTTAAAATTAAACATTAAATATTCAAAACACAAAAAGTATTATAAATTATAATTTTTCTCATGTCAATTTGATAATAAAATATATTTTAAAATGTTGGTCAAACTTCACACAATTTGACTCTCGATAAGTAAAATGTATCGTCTAAATTAAAACGGATGGAGTATATAATATAGTTGTTGAAGATATATAGATAAACACAAGTAAATGCTAACGCTATTTTATTTCTTTGTTTAATTGTTGATGGTATTGTGTAAGAAGATTAAATTTAATATCTATGGCAAATAGTTTAATTTGTTTTAATGAAATTATTTTCCATTTTTTTCTCTGTTTGTGGTTAATCTTTTACATCTGAGCATAGCAATAATGTAGGGTACTCTGCAATATCTTGGGTCAGCAAAGCTTTAATTAGCCACGAAAAGCTCTACACCCTTCAAAGGCTTCTTCTTATTCTTCTTCTTTAGATCAAGTAGCAGCAGCAATTACTCCTCTTGTTTAGCTTTTTCTCATCAACCCTGCAGTTCCCTAGTTTAAATCTGAAGCCAAGTGAAAAAGGCTAGTTTTTTTTCAAATCAAAGGGGAAAAATAGACTTTTTCATTTACTATAAAGCATGCTAGTACTAGCTTTTCTAGCTAAAGGGTTTCATTACGATGGTGGCAAAGCTTACTCATAGAATCAAGACTTCAAGTCCAGTAGTATAAAGATAGCAAAAGAAGTGTTGTACGTCTCTCTAGCATNGGGGAGGAGGGGCTTCTGATTTTTGTGGTTATGAGTTTGACTGTAATATTTCTTACAGGGCTGAGGAGCTAAGAGGCTGAGAAGAGTTCTGAGCAAGTAGACAGGCTTTGCTTTTGAAAGCACTGCAAAAAGGAGCCTTCTTTTCCCTCTCTTCTCTTCTGACATTTTCAACCAGCCCCCCTCCCTCTCTGGTACCAAACGTGATACATCGAACCTTACTTTTCCACATATTTTCCCCCCTTCTCTTTATTTTTGTGTGTATGCAAATATCACCGAAAAAGCCAAAGTATTCTGTGTGATCATCATCAATGCAAAGTACATCCTAAACCCACATCTACATACACCCCCACATCAACCCATACACTACCTACACTTTTTTTCTTATCTACCTTTCTTTTTCTCCTCCATTCCTAAACCCTAATTACAATCCCAAATCCACATAGATAGAGAGAAAAAATACCCTCTTTGCTGACTGGTGTTATTCTCTCTCTTTCAAGAAAGGTGGGTTGGTTTAGAGTGCTTGGTTGAGAAAGGTATGAAAGTGGTATGGAGGTGGATGAGATTCAAAAACAAGGGTGTAAGTTTCCAAGAATCAGCAATGAAAATGGTAGATTTGAGTCACAAGATGAAAATGGAGCGGTGAAAGGGAGTCATGGGCTTGGCGGTGGTAGGCTTTGTGGGTGGCCTTCAAATCGGATTGTTCGAGTTTCTCGTGCATCAGGAGGGAAAGATAGGCACAGCAAAGTGTGGACTTCAAAAGGACTCCGAGATCGGAGAGTTAGGCTGTCTGTTAACACAGCTATACAGTTCTACGATTTGCAAGATCGACTTGGTTATGATCAACCAAGCAAAGCTGTTGAATGGTTGTTAAAAGCAGCAGCTCCTTCAATCTCTGAGCTTCCTTCTCTCAATGCATTTCCAGACACACAACAGATCAGTGAGGATAAAAGGTCTAGTGCTGGAACTGAGCAAGGTCTTGATTCAGCTGAGGTTGAAATGGACGGTGATCCGAATTACCAACACCAACATGTGTCTTTGTCGAAATCTGCTTGTAGTAGCACTTCTGAGACAAGCAAAGGTTCTGGCTTGTCTCTATCCCGTTCAGAAAACCGAGTCAAGGCGAGGGAACGGGCAAGGGAAAGGGCTGCAGAGAAGGAGAAGGAGAAGGAGAAAGAAAACGAGTCGACTCGAACTGCACATCACCAAAATGTGCCTCGAATTTCACAGAATTCTTCTTTCACCGAACTATTGACGGGAGGTATGAACAGCAACAACAATACTAATACTTGTAATGGTAGAGGTAGTGAGACAAACTTGTTTAATAAATCTCCTAGGCAATGGTCCTCATCTCCATTTGAGTACTTTCCCTCAGGACTTTTAGGTCTTCGTGGAAACGACAACTCTACTTCTGGTTTTCAAGCCCAAATTCATTTGGGAAATCCTATACAACAGCAGCCACAGCCACTCCCTATGTCATCACCAATGTTTAGTATTACGAGAGACCATCATCCCGAGCTGCAGCATTTTCCGTTTGTAAGTGACCATTTGGGAACTAATGGCCATGCCAGTAATAGTGCTAATGAGTATAATTTGAACTTTAGCATATCATCATCGTCTTCTTCCGGTCTTGCTGGTTATAATAGGGGGACCCTTCAGTCCAATTCTTCTTCTTTGTTCCCTCATTTCCAGAGGTATGAGGGATCACAAAGTTTCTTCAATGGCAGCACAATAGCTGCTGCTACAGCTCCCAACAACACTGCTGCTGCATCAGTTGACAACCATCACCACTTTCTGTCTGCATATGATGCCGGCCGTTTACAGCTCTTCTATAATGACAGTAGGCATTCAGACCAGAAAGGAAAAGGAAAAAACTGAGTTTCATCCCATCTTCACAAATGGTAATTTTCTCTTTTAAATCTTATGCTCTATCTTCCAGCTTATTTTTCCACATTTTCTTGAAATTTTTTCCCTGCTAAAGTTTTCTCATTTATGGGTGTTTTTTGGATTGACGTGTTATAGTACAATGAAAATGGCTTTTTCATTTCTTGGTTTCAGATAAAGCTAAGACTATTAATTTTCTCCTATATTTTATACACTGCTACCTAGTATGTTGTCTTTTATGATGCCTGCATAGATTCCTGCGAATAAGGAGGGGGATCGGCTTGGCTGTCTCATTGTTTGGTTCCCTTCTTCCTAGCATGTCTATAGCCATAGCCAGGTGTTAATCAGTGAAATGAAGGGTTCACTTTAACAATGGTGGAAGACAGATATTAATTAAACACCTCTTTTTATTTTATTATGTCTCCTTTAGTTATAGATAGAGCCCCACCCAAAATGTCAGTCACAATTCAGGCAACACCTGGCAGTTTAACGCCGCTAGGGTTTGGAGCGTTGGAGTTGTTAAATGAGGCGTGGCTATATATATAACCTAGCTGATACCCTATTGGGTTTAAAGTTTAAACCATGAGAAATGGCAGCTGCTTTTGGAGACAAACATATGATACCAGCTGCTTTTTTCAAGATTTGATAGTAAGACGGGGTCGTCTGTTAAGTGTTTGTTTGATCTGTTTTTGTAAAATAAATATATTTTTAAAATATTCAAACTCTGTTTTTTATGTTTTAAAAATCTAGAAACTAGATCTTGAGTTTTTTAAATATTGGATTTGAATTTTTTTTTTTCCTGAGAAAAAAGTCCAGATTAACACTTTAACCCAAAACTAAGCTTCCCTTTGGAATAGATTTTGGCTACACAAAGGATTTTGAAAACACTATTTGTTCATGCAATATGATCAGTTTTTGAAAAAAAGTTGAAAATTTGAAAATATTTCTTCTACTCACAAAATTTCAACTTTTTCTCAAATAAAATGCATTTCTAAACATAACTTTAACTTTCAAAATTAATTTTCAACACAATTTCAAAAATTCTTTTTTCAAATTTCAACCAAATCTATGTCCGAACGCTAGCTAAAAAACTCTTGTTTACAAACTCAACTTATGAAAAACTTCAAAAATGCCTTATAAATACTTTCATGGTTAGTAGATGGAGCTATTAACAATCAGCAGCTTAACTAACGCGGTAATAAAAGGGCATTTACCTTTATTCCTAAGTTTCACTGGGTGGTTGTTGTATTTATCTTTATTCCTTAACTAACCAATATTTCATTGAAGAGACAATAAAGATAGAGGAAAAGAGTTGTAATAATTAAACATTATTTACACTCTGCTCGAAAGATAGGTACTAGTGGTGGTAAAATGGATAAAAAATATTATCTATCCATATTATTCACTAAAAATGAGTTAGATAATGAGCTTTTTAAAAATAGGTCAAATATGAATACGATCCATATTATCCACTTAAAAATTTGATAACCATGGATAGGCAATAGATAACCAATGTGTTTAATTTTTACATTTGTACGAATTCAAATTGGGGATACCTCAAATCTAGGAGACTAGAAATCCTCCCAAAAGTGATCATATTTCAAAAAAGCCATGGAAAATATGGATATCCATATTATCCGCCGGTTAACTCATTTTCTATCTGTATTAAATATGAGTGTGTCAATATTTATTCCATTTTTTATCCGCACATATCCGATCCGACCCGCCTGTTTTCTCCCCTAATAGGTAACCAAGATGCGCCTCCATCTTTCTACCCAGTTTATTAGGTCACAAAAAAGAAATGTAAAATAGTGTGTTTAAAAAACACAATATGATTACTACATGGTATAATTATTATCCTAGTAATTACATAGCCTAGTAACATATGTTGCATGGACTCTTCAAAATGCTACCGCACCCATATCAAATCCTTCAAAAATACATCATTGGAGGATCAAAAACACATTTATTGATATATTCGAAGAGTCCGAACAACATAACTAGTAATTATGTAATATAATAATTATAAAGACATGTGATTAGATCACAAAAGAGAAATATAGAGTAGGTGAGAGACAAGTATTTTTCTCTTTGCTGTCTTAATTATTACCATTCAATGTTTTCTCAAATTTCACACATGACCTTGTGATTTCAATGTTATCATTAGTTAACATTACGGGTGTGTTTGGAAATTATCATGTAATTACTAATTGTATAATTACTTAATCAATAACCTAATAATTACACAATACAGTAAATATTAAGACTTATTTATTTGTAATTTTGTGTAGTACACTGCATCATTTTTGGTTGCACTGATGTAATTACGATGCAAACTAATTTAATTTAAAACTAAATTAATAAATATTTTTTGAGAAGAACAAGTAAAAATACTTTAACGTGCATATAAAAAATATTACATTATTTATAACTAGGTGTTTAAGATAGATATTTAAAAAAAAATAATAATAATTATATATTAGCAATTAATATTGTAAAGAGTAATCAGTAGCTTTCAACTCATTTGAATATAATATAAAATTCATGAATTGTTTCATTTTCAAATAATAGAAGGATATGTATGAGTTTAGAAAGTATTTTTCTGTAATAAATCATTGTACTAACGAATAAAAAAGTAGCAAAGCGCAAAATTATTTTTAAGTGTGTTCCTCATATATTTGAAAGGGAAAAAAGTATTGTAAAAAGAATAATAAAAGTGAATTTGAACAGTCACATTGTAATTGGAAAGTATAATTGCAACCCATCAATTACACTCAATTTCATATTGATCAAATAGGCCGGATAAATAATCCAAACTTGTGTAATTATATCCAATTACACTCAGATTCAATTACACATTGTCCTTCCAAAACATGCCCTAAATTGAGAAACTATTCCTCTAAAATTCTTTGTGACATAGCACCCCTAAGTGGTCATGATGACTCAATATGCTATGGAAGAGCGCAACACGAGATGAGGTTAGGTTCACATCACGATTTCGAACTCTCCCATGGGAAATAACATGATATTTAAGTGAAAAGGGGCAGAGAAGTGTGCTCATTATCTATTGATTCGAATCTTGTGCCGCTGCCCTCGAGAATTTATTAATTTAAAAAGATGAGACCTAAAAGAACCTGCTTTCTGATGTATAGATCAATTAAATATAACAAAAAGAAATAGTTAATTCAGAGAATCCGAGTTGAAATTTAAGAGTGAAATAGTCAAAAATACGAAGGAGGGGGGGCATAAACATGTATATTAAAAATACAAGGAGGGGGGGCATAAACCAAAACCTCCGTAAGACTTAGTACAGAAGTAGCAAAAATTGTCTTGAACATTAAGTAGAAACCTTGATACCGTGTTGATGTCGAAACTTAAAGATGGTGTGCATTGGAGCACTTGTATGACGTAACAATAACTTTGTGCCCAAGGCACTACGCAACATGGAGGTTTTATAGCTTAAGACGATAACACCATCATACCTCCATGTGTGAGAGCATCATCCTATTGTGGATCAAAGTACCACCCTGAGTATTTAGTAGTTTTAATTCCGAAAGAGGGAATTTGCATTCTATCCATCCTTATTGCTCCTCTAGCTTCACTAGGGAGGTCAGCTTCATGGAAGTACATGCATTCATCATCCAAAGTTGTTGCATATTTGGCCAAGGAATCTGTCACATGATTTCCTTCCCTATAACAATGTTGAACTTTGATTCCATGCTGTCTGACGTTCTCCTGGATTTTACCAATATCCCTTTGTAGTCTCCAGGGAATATTAGTTGTGCCAAGAATCATGTTAACTACTAGCATTGAATTAAATTCTAGGATCAACCCCGCAAAACCTTGTTGGTAACACCACAATGTTCCCTGAAGAGCAGCTTGTGCTTCTAAGAAGTTGTTAGTTGAGAATTGTATTGGAGTTGCAAATGCCATTACCAAATGACCATTTCTCTTCCTAACAATGCCTCCTGCTCCTGCTCTCCCTTATACTGCCATAAAACTTCCATCCGTATTTAGTTCCAGGTATTCTCCTCTGGTCTCAGCCATTTGACCATCCTACATCTGAGACATGGCGCCATGTAGGATTCTGAAATATCGCATACCGTATGCCAGCTCCAACCCCAATCCATTTTGCTGAACCTTTTTCCCATCACAATTTTGACCTGGAATAAAATTTGTTGGCAGATTCTAGCAACATTGGTGGGCTTGCTGCCATACTTTTTAGCGCACATCGCATATAGTGAGTGCACCTATATTGCAAGAAAAACATAACATGGCACCCCATAGGAGCATGAGTACAATCATTATTCTCATGTATAAATATAAAATTATCGCGAACATTTTATTACAAAGTGCATGAAAATATAAATCATTTCATAATTTGAAACTGTGTCAATAAGCCTTTATCATAATTGTGACACCCATGATGGAGGACGGCTGATGATGGCGGTAAAGTCATAAAGAGAATAACTAACAGGCTTTTAGGCTAGCAAGCTTCTACATAAGAGGTATATATGATACCTCGCACATCGGAAAGAGAAAGAAAAGTGAAGTACTATATATGACAATATAGATTCACATACTTTTGGTTTCGATGAGATCGTAGCCCGAGAAATAAATTCGTGAGGTCTATTGGCCCAAAGGCGTTAAATACGTTCCATGGGCTTAGGTTATGATAGGAGGTAGAGTATAAGAGCCAGACTCTCGCTGTATGGTTAGCAAGGACGCTGAGTCTCTAAAAGGAATGTATGTGGCCTATGACCTGGGAGGATCAAAGAGAAGTTCTGACAGGCCTCTCAGCTAGTAAGCTTTCGAATAAGAGATAAATATGACATCTTAGACAAATCTGACAGCGCAAAGGGAGAGAAAGGTAAAGTGCTATATATGACAAAGCACAATTTCATATGATATGCACGTTTTTGGGCTCTATAATAATATAGTCCGAGGGATAAAATCATGAGGTCCATTAAGCTAAAGCAAATAAATACGTGCCATAGACATGGGCTATAACCTAACA